CCAGTGGATGCCAGTGATGGTTCTATGTGTTCATGCATTTATGTGGTTTTAGTTGGGCTTATGAGTGGGATTTTACAAAAGACCTTAACCTATATGCGCCTGGTGTGTAAGCTATCATGGTTTAGATCAGCTACAGGTACCAATTAAAGGGTGGGTCATGCTGAAAAATTATATCTAGGGATTTATACCTATAGAAGGGCATTCCAAACTATTCTTCCATTCCTAACTTGGTTTAAGTTAAATTTACATGGCAAAATATAGCTTGGTTCAATTGTCTGTTGTCCCTTTAGACTAATGACTTGAGGTTTGGGTTTTTAGTTTCCCCCTAAATGTTTTTTGAGGCAGGCTGTGACTACGCTGGACTGGAGAGACCTTTGGTACATGGTCAAATCCATTCGCTACTTAGTTGAGTCTCATCTCTGACTGAAAGTTCCAGCAAGACTGGAAAAGACTAAGACTCGTGAAGACTTCGAAGAAGACTGACTAAAGACTGAATAGTTCCAAGAAGTGTTGCCTTTTAAAGGGGTATCCACTTCCTGTTACGTGGTACTTCCTGATTGGTTGAAACAACCAGCAGGGGTGTGGTTCTAGTGATGTTAGAGGGTCACTAGAAGTCAGGAGACAGAAGGAATGTTTAAGAACGGTTAGTACAGATGGAGAAATATTTTTATGAAATGAGAGGAAGCAGGTACCAGCAGCTCTTATTTACTGTCTGCGAGTTTGATAAACAATACACTTCGTCCTCATATCTTGTCTCTGACTTTCGACCGACATCAGGTCCACTACCCTCATTCAGACAGAAGACTAAATGCACATTTACTTAGTAAATAGACATTTGACTGTATGATCAAAGTCTAATGTGGTTTAAAAATCATTAATACTGTTTCACAGTTGATTTAAATGAGTGGTTCACTTCAACATTTAGAAATGGTATGAACTAAACACACTTTTGATTATCAAGATATTTTAAAATAGTACTGATAATGAAAAAAGTAGAGTGTTCTTTCAATTGATTAATTCAGGATACAATTAAATAATCTCTTGATGAGATAATTTGTATTTCTGGATTCAAATCAATGAAATAGCAGTTCCTGTCCCCTGAAGGATTTCAGAGACAGATTGATGTCGGAGGCCTAGTTCACTACACCATTACACCTGAAACAAGCCCATAACAAATTCTAATAAAATTTAATTTATATATCAGGTGGAGCATTAAGGCCAGCCATAATGCTCTGCTTGTGAAAGTAAATCTGTTGGGCATCACTTTGACACTCAGACAATAATTCTAAGTGTCACAATGCCGGACAGGACAAGGGGGGGGAAAAAAAAGCCATAAGTTTATTTATTTCTACAACTGACTGGGGCTAAATAGTTTTTGAGAAGCACATTTTGTTGAAAACAATAAATTATACATGCAACTTCAGCATGTATTAGTCCTCAGTGTCCATATGAATATATTAATAGTAAATAAACTAGGGATGCACCGATCCACTTTTTTATTTACTTTCGATCCGATCCCGATACCCAAGTCTGAATATCGGCCGATACCAATCCAGTTTCGATATCATCATCATCATCATTGATTTTATATGAGGCTGTAATAATCTCCTCTCAAGTACAATTTGTACAAATATATATATGCATGCATGTCCAAAAAGGCAACTTGAGGTAAGTTTTATTAATTTTGGATAAGTTTTAGTTAGAATTACATTCTGCTAACACAAAACATGTTTCTTTTTATTCCTAGCTTTAAAGTGGATATTAAAGCGATTAATTTTAAGTGAATGTTTAAAGTTATTTTATATATTTTTTTTAAATAAGGGGCAGATAAGAATTTTTTTCTTCTTTCTGCACTATTTCATTCAATGTTTTCTTTTTCATGATTTTTTAAAAATGTTTCTTTTAAATGAATGAATTAAATTAAATAAAATGTTAAATGGCTTCAAACACCTGGCATAAACCAACAGACATGTTCCCGTTTTTAGTATTTTACATCACTTTATAATGTAGCCGTTTTTGTTTTTAATATAATTTTCAAATCATATGTTTTTTATGATTGTTTACTGTTGTACTGATAAATATCTCCTAAAGGGTAAACTATATCTTGGCTGCAAGTATCAAGCTGTGAAATCCTTCGTTTTCTAAAACTTATAGTGGTTGGTCATGAATCATGATGAACTTCTCTGTAAACATTTGAGCTCCGTGGTTTCAGCGATGTCTTTTTCTTGTTCAATCCGAAGCAAGCAGCCTGATTTGGGGCAGCCGCACTCAGTCTGTCCCTCCTTGGAGACGGGCACACTGAGCGGGGCAGATTGGACGTGGCTGGCCGGGTCGAGTTGCCTCTTTCCGGTTGAGCAAAGAGCAGCGCCCCGCTGAAGCCACGGAGCTCGAATGTCCAACGTAAAACTAACTTTACCGCGGTTTAATGTGGCGCTGTGGCTCTGCAGACATTGCACAGTGCTGTCTTGTTTTGTGGTGTTTCTAGTGTAAAATATTTCCACACAGCAGACATGTTTCGATGAAAAGTTTGTTAGCTGTTAGCCACACTGCTGCTAACTCAGCCCTCACGTTGTAGCTGGCTGCAAACTATGAACTGGATTTCCTGAATGTGAGGCGGGTCTTATTACTCTGGGTTCATGAGACATGCCTCTGTTCAGGAAATCCATTCTATAGTTTGAAGCCAACATGCATCATGGATCGGAAATATCGGCAGGTGGATCGGAAAAATCTGATAAGTAAATTATGCTGGTATCGGAGGCCGATACCAATACTGGATCGGATCTGCCCCATCCCTAAAATAAACAAGCTCATCCAACAACGTTCAGTCAGGTCATCTGTTTCTTTTTTTGCTGAGATGTTTCGTCCTTCATCCGAAGGACTTCTTCAGTCCAAGAAGCCACAAACAAACTGGAGTCTCACAAATACCACACTCACATAGTGGGGAAAAAAACAGGTTGCTGGTGATAAGATAGTTTCTGGGGCCCGCCCTCTCCCCAGTCACTCCTCTGAGGCAGTCATGTCAAAATGGTTCAAAACACCAACAATTCATGCTCAGTAATCCAGGTTACAAATCCAACAATGTTCAGTCATGTCATCTGGATGGTTTATTTTAAAAGAAACCGGCCAGATGACCTGACTGAGCATTGTTGGATTATTATCTGGAATATTGAGCATTAACTGTTAGTGTAAACAAGCTCATGTTAGAAAGAGAATCTTCTAAACCAACTAATGCGATTTTTTCATCTCTCGTTCCAAGTATCTCAAGTTTTCCCTCTCATCTGACTTCTAGATACTGTGTGGGAAACTAATTATTGTCTTGAGATGAAATCTGGAATAAGACAGTCTCTTATTAATAAGAACATAAATAAGATTGTTAACCACCTTCTGAGTCATCAGCCTCTGAATCTCCACCAGATGAAGCTGGCAGCACATCTAGAAGAGTGAATAATCTGATCAGGTCTTTTTAAAGAAAATATATATAATATCTCACTTGGACTGAGGTATAAAACACTCTGTGGTATATATAAAAAAAATGCAACAGAATAGAAATAAATATTTCGGTGAATGTAATCGTGAGCCACAAAACCATGTTAAGTTTATATGTCTGCTGTCGGTAAAAAAAACTAATTTTGAATTAAAAAAAAAAAACTGTTGGCGTTTTCAGTATTTCAAATGTTAAAAAAAATGAAAAGAACATGTGAAGTAAGGAAAATATATTTTATGTCTCCTTTTGATCAAATTTACATAAGTCCGAGTCCTTCCGTTTTTGGAAAAAAAAATTAAAGTATCCTACTTTTAACAAATAAAGCAGATTTGCTTCTCAGTAAATCGTTAGAAAAGGGGTCAATTTGTTACATATTTGTAACTTACTGAAAGCAAGTCCCTTAAAAACAGAAGACTTCATTTACAGCAACACATTTTTTAATCAAAGGTAAAGTTCCATTTCATCCTTATTGCTGAAAGCACTGAATATTCCATGCATGCGCAGTTTGAGTAGTATCAAAAATGTCACAGCTGTGACATGTCAAATGATTAGCCAGGGGATATATAGTCCCGTTTCATCTGCAGCTCTCATCTTTTTCTTCTCACATGTGGTATGAATTACTGAAGACCCTTTCATCATCGTTGGACGTCCAGTTGCCTGTTGGCAGGATGTGGCTCCTCGCTGGTCGTCGTGAGGGTACACTCTACCAGGAGCGCCTCCGCTTCCTGGAGGGGTTCCACTGGAAGCGATATGTGCTGCTGCACCATGGGTTTCCCCAAGCACATTCACCAGGTTCTACAGCATCAACGTGGCCACCTCTCATGCTCTGGGCTAGGTTCTTCTGCAAGGGTCCTCTGGGTCTTCCCAGTGACGTTTGTGCTCAGAATTCCTTGTGACATTGCTGGTATTAGTCATTCTGTGCTTTCAGCACCACCCTCTGGCGGTCAGTAGGGATGGAATGGAATGACGGTTATGTATGCAACCACGGTTCTATGAATCCCGGATGACTGCCAGAGCTTCTCTGTCACTCAGAATCCTTGCGTCCGCGAGAAGATTCTGCAGGATCAGAGTAGTGGATAAAACAGAACTATATACCCCCTGGCTAATCATCCGACATGTCACAGCTGTGACTTTTGTGATAATACTACTCGAACGGCACATGCGTGCAGGGAAAATTCAGTGCTTTCAGCACTGCCCTCCGGCGGTCATCTGGGATTTATAGAACCGTGGCTACATACGTAACCTTTGTTTTATTTCTAATTCTCCTCGTCAGGATCAGTCATCCAATTTTCCAGAGCACCTGATTTTGATTACTTGTAATGTTTACAAACATGTTATTGTTTTAAAGTGTTTAACCGTTTGGACAAATTGTATTAATTATATTAACCAACCATCCCCGATGCTTTCTAATTTTTAGATTGTTTAAAAGTTTAGTGACTTCAATGATTAGGGTAGCTGAAGATGAACCTTTGGTTGGGAAAAAAATCGACAGCTCAGAGTCGTTTCTTTCTTCTAATTTAATAGACTTTATTTAAACGTTCTTTCATGATGATCTAATATGTTAAAATGACAACTCAGGAAACATTTTCCTGCCTGTCGCCTTCGTTAAAACTCAAATGGGTCACGTACAAGAGTCATACAGTACACACATGACCTCACTATGATTGTGCCATTAGCATGCCATGGTCCCCATTTCTCATAAAGATTTGTTAAAATAGTTCTTATAGAATCCATTTACAATGCAGGAATCAAAGGTGAACGCTGTGCAAACACAAACGGGAACCTTTACAGAAAACACTCCACGGGGTTCCAGTGACACGAGAACAGATATGTACTACAGGTAAATGTACTGCAGTCCAGCAATGATTCAGACAGGTACTTTTTTGCACGTCTCCAGAGGAGAGTACATTCTCACATCCTTGTTCTGCTAGGATTCCTGGGTAATCTCATGACTGGGCTGCAAACATTCAGTCAGACTCAGAAACTCTAGAAATTGCATCATGTATCTGGGTCAGTTTTTACAAACATCCAGAATCTACGAGAGGGTCGACAAGAAAACACAGTGGATCATTCTGACCCCGATTCTTCTTTGGCAGACATTGTCACAATAAATGAACGTTACTCAAATCTGATCACTGTCACAGAGGTATTACCATGTAGTTCGCATAAAGACACATTTACAGGAAAATGCCTGAATCTGCAAACAAACGTCTGTACTTATATCAAATATTAATATACTATCACATACAGGGGTTTGCATGACGGCGTGGAACAGACATCAAGCCGGTCGTTTCTCACGCCAGAGCTGGGAGAACTGATAAGACTAATCTTCTATGGGGGTGTGGGGGTATTGCAGACTGTACCTCTGGAAACATGACAAGACTCATACACACCTGCTTCAGGGGTTACTTTCAGGGGGAACAGGTCAGTATTTAACCTGTACACATCCACCTGGAAGCACCAGTGAGTCCAGCAAAAAATTTACTTTGATACTTTTTGTGTCCTGAGCTGTGCTCCCCCCCAGTTCTTTACCACACACTCAAGAACAAACATGTACACACACGTATTAAAACGCACACACCTCGTACCTGGAGGATTCAGGTGCAGTTAAAACAACACAGAACTTTGTGGCTTATTGAGTAGAAGAAACAATGATGGTGCTTCAGGCAAAGACCTGCTGGATGGAGAGACCCCCCCCCCCCCCGCCCCCCTGCAGCAGTGTGAATGTTTCGTCTAACTTTGACAAATCGGAGTTAACAGACATCTGGTCACAACGCAATGACTACAGGTCATGACCCAACCGCTCAATCTCGTCCACGAGGAAGTCGATGTCGGACTGGGTGGCCGCAGGATTGGAGATGACCATCCGGAAGAAGTTGACCTTGTTGCCCTGAGGCTGGTAGCCCACCATGGTGGTCCCTGACTCCATCATCATGGCCTTGATCTTTGGAGCCACCTGATGGAGGGACAACAGCCAGTCAGTGCCGTGTGCTCCTCTAATGTTCAACTTCAAGTCAAGTTTATTGTCATTTCATCACATGTGGTGGAACGACATCATGTACCCAGGGTCCCAGTTACACCCAACAAGAGCAAAAATATAAAACATAAAAGAAACAGTAAATAAAGATCTTTTAGCGTACAAACCGGATTCCAAAAAAGTTGGGACACTAAACAAATTGTGAATAAAAACTGAATGCAATGATGTGGAGGTGCCAACATCTAATATTTTATTCAGAATAGAACACAAATCACAGATCAAAAGTTTAAACAGAGAATGTATCATTTTAAGGGAAAAATATGTTGTTTCCAAATTTCATGGCGTCAACAAATCCCAAAAAAGTTGGGACAAGTCCATTTTTACCACTGTGTGGCATCCCCCCT